ACTAAGGTTGCAACCTACAGCCAAATCTACTAAGGATTGTCAGATCCTTTTATTTTATTACTAACGAACATGGCCGTGCATTACAACAAAATTTACATCTTACGTCATGTTTTCTAATACGTTTGGAACTAGATTTTGTGTCATGGTTGTGTGTTGCTATTCTAACTCTTAGGAGCATGGGGCGTGAGCTCGGATCACAGACGAGCCAATAAACCAATTAGAACTCTAATCTCTAATTTATCATGTACAATTAGTAAAACTGTGTAGGACTCTTATACTCTGGAGAGTCACGAACAAGAAGAGTACTGTGATTAGCCAAAAGTTAGAGGAAGAAATTTTTACTATTTAATATTAGGTATAGATTTTTCATTATATATGCTCTTGATGTTGACCATGGCCTGGCTGCAAGAATCTGGTGGCGTGCAGTTAACGAGATAATAAGCCTATCTATTACTCTTCGAGGATCGGAGGACAGAAAGGACTAAGGATGCCTATGGATGGGCTCTCCACCAAGCTTTGTTGTAATGTCTAGCTACATCACAATGTCTTTTTCATTGATTTAGTCTAAGTGGACTTGTAACTCAAAGTTTGTATCACAACATCACAAGTCTATCGCGAAGATAGAGTCCAAAATATATCAGGAAACAACTTTAAACATAGAAAATGAAATCCATTTTGGACTTGACCTGAGCTGCACACACTGGACAGTCCGGTGATGATATGATGCATGTATTCGACGCAGGCTCAATTTTAACTGCGAACTTATTATATAATCACTTCAACTCATAGTTGAGAGGAACTAGTAGAAAAGCCGTCTCCCTCCCTCTTATGTGCGCGTTCCAATGGAGCTACTACCACCAGTGGTCTCTTTCATCGCCGTCGTGCTCGCCACTGCACTCTTTCTCACAACCATTCTCCTCGGCCGCTGGAATCCCAAGCGCAAGCTCAATCTCCCACCAGGCCCTCGGCCATGGCCGGTGATTGGCAACCTCAACCTGATCGGCGCGCTCCCGCACCGCTCTGTCCATGAGCTCTCCAAGCGGTACGGCCCACTCATGTCTCTCGGTTCGGCTCCTTCCCCGTCGTCGTTGGCTCCTCCGTCGACGCCGCAAGGTCCATCCTCAAGACCCACGACCTGGCGTTCATCGACCGTCCGAGGATGGCGTCGGGCAGGTACACCGGCTACAACTACTCCGACGTGCTCTGGGCACCCTACGGCGCGTACTGGCGCCAAGCGCGCAGGCTGTGGAAGACGGAGATCTTCAGCGCTAGGAGGCTCAGGTCGCAAGAGCACGTTCGCGACGAGGAGCTGCAAGCCATGCTGCACGATCTCTATGTCCACGGGACATCGGCAGCGGGGGCGGGGCGCGTGGTGGTGCTGCTGGACCATCTCCTCATGGTGAACCTCAACGCGATCTCACGCATGGTGCTGGGCAAGAAGTATGTCGTCAACGAGACAGGGTCGGCGACGACGCCTGAAGAGTTCAAGCGGATGGTCGACGAGTTCTTCTTCCTCAGTGGAGCGCTCAACATCGGGGACATGATCCCATGGCTCAGCTGGCTGGACCCGCAGATCAGGAGGATTAAGCGGCTGGGCAAGATGTTTGATTGGTTCCTGGAGCATGTGGTGATCGAGCACATCGATCAGCGGCGGCGGCGGCGAGAAGGTGAGGAGTTTGCTGCCATGGACATGCTGGACTTGCTGCTGGAGCTCGCTGACAACCCCGACCTCGAGGTCCCAATCCAGTGGGATGGCATCAAGGGATTTACGCTGGTAAGCACACGGGAGACTGATCACTAATTCGCTCCGTTATTACTTTATAGTCCGTTTCAGTTGAGCTCTTTTCGTCATATGTAAAAAGATTGGTTATTACACGTCACAAGGTTTCTAAAACTGGATCCTTTGCCACAGCCAGGGTTTTTAATTTCGGTATTAAAATTATTTCGGTCTGCCTTTATGATTAGTGAAATTCGGTTAAAATTTTAATAATTACTTTCTAGAGGCTTAAACATGCTAATATGATATTTTTAGATCCAAATAAAATATGATATTAGCATGATTTTTTAAGCATTTATTAAGTAGAAAAATATATACATAAATAATAGAAAATATGTGGCTAAAGTTATATTTTGAGCCCTGCCCACCGTCGCTTATGCCATCACCGTCATGGATGACATATGTTGCTTGTTTGATTCCCCTTCGGAGGGTGACTGGTGCTGCATGTGCTTGTGTATCTTGAACAATGTTTAGGTTCGCTATGTGCATGTGCATGTGTATCTCGTGGCCTGTGGCCATTGTTTGGAAGCTATACACGCGGAGGGTGCATTTAAAATTATTTTCGAGTAGCAGGAATCTTGGGAATTCAAAATTATAACCTCAAGTCTCACGTAACATGAGCCATCCTTATCATAGTACTACTACCGATAGTGCTCCGCTGTGGGCTTCCGTCTCGCATCTAAACGTCGGACGCTACGTGGCCTCATGATGTCCATATATTTTACCCACCATATAAATATCCTTTTTGGTTTCATCTCGTCTCTCTCTCCTCCGTCTCTCCATTCAAAGCAATAGGGAGAGGAAGGATGTCCAGGACAGAACATGCCTGACGCATGGCTACCATGCTCCATTCGTATCCCCACTCGCCGCCTCGGGTTCACGCAACTGTGGAGACCAAGCCGACACCTTCTCTCCCTCTCCCATTTGCTCGCCCTCACTCCTCTCCCTCTCGCTCTGCTCGAGAGTGCAGGCACCGAGCGCCATGGTCGCCCACCCAGCTTCCACGGTCGATGCTAGCTCCCGTGCCTCCGAGCGCCCTCCTCCGTGCAACCGCCGTCCAAACTGACCACCCCATCGGCTTCCACACCCCCCGCCGCAGCTCGCTTGCCTCAACCGCCCTGCTGAGCTCCACGCACACTGCATGTTGATCGGGATGTTGCAAGCGCTTGTTCCAAACATTTCAGCTGTTTCAAACGTATGTTGCATGTGTGTTTATATGAGTGTTACATATGTTTCACACTTTATGTTGCAAGTGTTTCGTCCGGATGTTGCATATGTTTCACACATATGTTGCAAGTGTTTTGTCTAGATGCTGCATATGTTTTGCAATGGCTACACACATGTTTTTCTCGTGTTTCAGACGTATATTGCAAGTGTTTCAACTTTTTTGACGTATGTTGCAAATGTTTCCTCTAGTTATTGTAAAAGTAGATCTGGTGTTGCACATGTTGTAGTGGGACCCATCTGCAGCAGCCGCCTGCTGTAGCTGCTGGGCCCACCTGCATGCCTGTGGGTGTGGAGGGGGCGCGGATGGTAGGTGTGGGAAGTGGGCCTGTTCGCTTGAACTTATCAGCCAGGTTATCAGCTAAAATCTACAGTATTTTTCTCTTACAATAAATCAGCTTCAGCCGGCTTATCAGCCGGCTTTAATACCAGTCGAACAGGCCCCGTGTGGGCAAAGATCAAGAGGGAGCGGCACGGGACACGGAGCGGCGCGGAACACGGTGCAGGTGTAGGACACGGAGCGACGCGGGCCCCACGTGAAGCAGGCGTGCGGGCGAGCGCAACAGCATGCCTACGTGAAGTAGGCGCGGGCATTTGGATGCTAGCCCTGCCACACAATCACCCGCGATCAGGTACCGATTGCTATTTTTAGATTACTATTTTATTGGATATTGAAGACCTAAATGGTCTTAAGTTTTCAAATTTTTAACAATATATAGTTTTTGAACTCATCGAAAACTACAATTTTGAATGAAGCATGTCTCAATCCAAGTTGTTTGAAAATTCAAGAAAAATAATTTAAAACATTGAGAACTTAAATGTATATTTAGACCCCTAAACAATCTCAAATAAAAAATTATAAGCTACAAAGATTATTTTTTGAAAGAAATCAGCTACGAAGTTTATATCCCATCTTGCTCTACAAACTCTAAAATAAGGTTTGTCTCCATCTGCCTTCTTCATTCATCATTTAGAAATGTTATGAAGTTATTTGTGCAACAAATATCTCTAGTGACGGGCCATCTTACCAACTGCATCTGAAAATCAATATTCTGGGGGTCATTGGTAACACTGGCATAATGGATCACCCCTGAAAAAAAAACAAGATGCTTCTAAATTTCGCTTTTGTTAGTGTAACTAATGAAATGATGCATACACATTTCAGATTTTCATAAGATTTTTAGGATTTATCTTTTTTCCTAATACATTGTGCAAGGATTAATGTGGAGGTGCCAAAAGAGACTATTTTAATGACAAATTTATTACTACAGACATTATAGAAAAAGTATCAGTGGTTTAGTCATCCCTCTATTTTTCTCTTTTGGTACTGAAGAATATGTCTAGTGAGTTATTACATGCTCTGCACATCAATATAGTTGAAACTATAATAGTTACTCATGAGTACATACCCGCGGGTATCCTAATCGGCATCCTACATCCCTTACTTAAGACCATACCTGGCCACCGACCGGAAAATTCTGAGCCACCCGGTCTAGAATCCCATGTAATCGACAGAAAAATGTAAATAAACCATCAGACATATATGTTTTCTAAAGTAATATCTGTTATATGCAAGTTCTTATATATGTGATTTGTTATATGCAAGTTCTCCAACCTTGGAGGAATACATATTTCCTTGAAGGTTTATGATGATAGCCAAGGAAACAACCAATTTCGTTGGCAGTTCCATTTCAGCCCTCAAGAAAATTCTTGCCCATCAAGGTAATTCAGGATTATGGTAGTGTCATGAAGTTGGGCAACGCAAATTAATCTGCATGATCTTATGTAATCTAGCAATAGATGGAACGATTGCTTTTGTTGCTCTTATCATTTGCAATATGTTTTACTTTTACCCACATCAAGCACTCCTAGGTTCATATGAGTCGTAGCTAGAGAGCTAGAAATATGTAATCATTAATTGTACTTCCTGACCTGCATTATCGAATAACTAAAGGAGTAGAGTTGTTTTAGAAAAGAATTTTCTGACACGCTCTTGCAGGATCTCATCGTTGGCGGCACGGACACCTCATCGGTGACCATCGAATGGGCCATGTCCGAGCTCCTGAGGAAACCCGATGTGCTCACCAAGGCCACCGAGGAGCTGGACCGTGTCATCGGCCGCGAACGCCTTGTCACGGAGGGGGACATCACGAAGCTCCCGTACATGCAGGCCATCGTCAAGGAGACCATGCGCCTGCACCCGGTGACGCCGTTGCTGGCGCCGCGGCTGTCCCGGGAGGACGCGTCCGTGGACGGCTACGACATCCCGACGGGCACGCTCGTGTTCGTCAACGTCTGGGCCATCGGCCGTGACCCGGCCGTGTGGGGGGATGCTCCCGACGAGTTCCGACCAGAGAGGTTCGCCGGGAGCAGCGTGGACGTGAAGGGGCAGGACTTTGAGCTGCTGCCGTTCGGGTCTGGCCGTCGGATGTGCCCCGGCATCGGGCTTGGGCTAAAGATGGTGCAGGTGATTCTAGCGAACCTGGTCCACGGGTTTGCGTGGAGGCTCCCCGACGGCATGGCGAAGGAGGAGTTGAGCATGGAAGAGAAGTTCGGGCTGTCCATGCCGCGCTTGATCCCACTCCAAGCCGTCGCCGAGCCTAGGCTTCCGGCTCACCTATACGCCAGGCCGCCTCCATGATGCACGCATACATACTTGTGCGTGTGCGTTGCCTGCATCTGTCTCTGCGTGTACGTGGAACACAAGCATGATGCATTTGCTTCGAGCCTTCGACAGGAAATAAACGTGTGTATCCACGTATATCAGCGCTGTGTCAATTCTTATCCACGTGGCATCATGGCCATGTTTAATGACGATTTCAATCACTTTTCTCTTTTTCATAATAAGTATGTAATGGAACTCCATTCTCACAAGCGGATCCCATATACCAAGGAGGTAAAGGGGAGTATATATATGCATGTTTTAATGTGCTAGAGCAACCATCTCTTACGATCATAATTATGGTCATGCTTGGAACCTTTGCTGATCTTGTCTCACCTAGCCAGCCTCACCTAGCAAAGTAGAGACAACAACCTTTACTCATGCAGGCAAGCTGATTTGGCTCTCCTGAACGGGCAAGGAAATCCTTGCTGAGGAGAGCTAGGTTGTCGGGCAAAGTAAGAGTTTGTGATTACAGCCTTAGATCTTTAGGAGTTGTTAGTAGCCCATCATCACAGCCTGGGTCACCTCCAGCAAGGCTACGCATTTACCTCCAAAAACGGGCACATTCCAATCAAATTGAAACAAAGGGAGCAAAAGATATGACATGCCTGTGCTGCAAGGCATCACGAACAAAACACGAACCGGGCATCACAACCAAATTTATCATGAATGAAACCTAGATCCGGGCCGAATGGATGCCCTCCTTGCTGGATCCAGGACGGATCCACGCGTGCCTTTGCCTCCACATCAACTTGAGAGGAGTGTTGTGATTTGGTTTGCTTTGCGCTGACTGCAATATAATAATGAGCGGGATTAATTATTTTTAGACGCAGGTCTCTAAAAATGTATTTACGGTTGTGGTGTTTATTGGACTGTTTTCGTAAATAAATTGATCGCCTCTGAAATTCACTAGATATTTTTGGAGATATTGATGTTTTGAAACCGTGTATGTAAAGTGTGATGCGACTGTCTCCTAAAATTGTTTTTTTAAACAGTGAAGTTAAAGGTGTTATATATTCCCATGCAACAATTGAAAGGGAATCATGCATGGACCAATATGCAGGCAGGGATCGGATAGCATGCATAGTTCTCCAGGATCGAGCACATATGGTAGTTTGGAGATACATGCTGTAGTTTTATGTATAAGAGACGACCTCAAACTTCCGAGCGCTGAGACTATCTCCAATGAGTGACTTAAATGGACACCTAAACCAAAAATAGGTAGCAAGAGATCTAAAATTAGTCTCCAACAGAGTACCTATACGGGAGACCCATTTTACATTGGCTGAGAGCTACAACCCAAATATTAGTATCATCTCTCTAAAAACCCATTTGCAAAAAGGATTCTCTTCTAGTGTTGTTAGAGAAGATGCCGAATGGGTATTGAACTCTTTGTCTGTAACGCTACTTAAAGGTGAGTCTTGTATTTTGGGTGTCGTTGTTGGAGATAGTCTGAGCAAAGCACAAATTATTATCAGCACGGCTGGTGATACCGGGAGCTGAATTAATCCTTGTTCTGGAGCCTGAGCGTGAAGGCCTGAAGGGACAGGAGCACCTGCTTGAGCCGCTCCCTGGTTTCGGCATCGATCAGGTTCCCATCGCTGTCGAAACTTGGCCGGCTCGAAGAACGCGAAGACGAACAGTTCTGGCTTGTTGATGAAATGGATGTCCAAGAACACCCCGACCTGGCGCAGATGGTAGCTCGACCTGCCCCCACCAAAGTTGCCTCCCGCGCTGACGATGGCGGCTGGCTTGTCCGCCCAGCAGTTCACTCCTCTAGAAGCCCAGTCAAGTGCGTTATTCAGTGGGCCTAAAAATCATTTTTTTAGGGAATGAAGTACAGAAATGACGCGTAGTAATAACAAAGCAAAACTTACTGGTGATGGAGTAGTTGTACTCGGGCGAGGCGAAGAGGAAGCAGTCGGCGTGGCGGACCTTGGCGCGGAACGCCTCGACGGCGGGCGGGAAGCCTGTGCCGCCGTCGGTCTCGAGGTCGGTGTTGAGCATGGGCAGGTCTTAGCACGAAATTAAGAGTGATGCCTCCATGAAGTGTACGTACCGGCCACGCGGAGGACACGCTTCGCAGCCGATGCTTCCATGCCTGATGGTTGATGCGGTAGTAGTAGTACAGCCGTGCGTACAGCGGTGGATGGATGGATCCCTGCTTCTGGTGGTCGTCCTATCTGCCTCCTCTCCGTCGCCAAATAAATAGAGGTGTACCTGGGGTCGCAGTGTCGCACACCGGACCGGATAGCCGGCGGAGGCGAGATTATCATAAGCAATAGTAGTTAACGTTCACCATCTTTCTTTCATCACTCGAGTAACAGCAACAACAATTTGCAGTATATAACAATATCAAGGTGAGGTTATTTCTGTATTCGGATGGGAAGTTTCCTATTTCGTCCGTCGTCTCTCTACCTGCGTCCGAGGCTGAAAGGCTGTAACAGTCTAACAGAAACAGAGCAGGACTGAGGGCGCGCTTGAGGAGAGGACGTCGACGTCATGCGGCACATCGTTGTAGTATTTGTGGGCTGGACGGTCTTATCTGGTCAGTCCGGGCACGCCGACACGGCACAACTTTAGTGGGTGTTTGTTTTCTTCTTCTAAATTTTAGTCGCTGTTTTATCAAATGTTTGACATATGTATAGAGTATTAAATATATATTAATTACGAAACTAATTGCACAGTTTGTGACTAATTTACGAGACGAATCTTTTAAACCTAATTAGTCCATGATTTGACAACGTAGAATTACAGTAAATATGTGCTAATGACGAATTAATTAGGCTTAAAAAATTCGTCTCGTGGAGTACTGACGAATTATGTAATTTATTTTTTTATTAGTATCTGAATACCCTATGCGACACCATCTTTTAACACTTCCTAAATTTTAATTACTGGATCTAAATACCCCTGAGGCTAAGCACATGGCCCAACCTCCCAGCCGGATTTAGTCCATTAAAAACTCTGGCTATAAAATAAATCTCCTTTTCCACTCTTCCTCTGCTCTACTCTAAGCCCTCCGCTAGCTTTCTCTGGGTTATCCTCACCAGACCTTGCCACGCACGCACTAGGTTGCCCCTTCCTCCCTAGTCCTCCCTGCCTCCTCTGCTGGCTCCCTAGGCCTTGTTTAGATTGTCTCAAAATTCTAAGTTTTTTCACTCTCTCTCTATTATATCAATTTTTAGATGCATGTATGGAGCATTAAATGTAGGTAAAAAAATAACTAATTACACAGTTTGGTTGTAAATCACGAGACGAATCTTTTGAGCCTAGTTAGTCCATGATCGGGCAAAGTTTGTCAAATACAAACGAAACGTGCTACAGTGTCCAGATTGTAAAAAATTGCAATCTAAACAAGGCCCTAGGCGACCTCTGATCATCCCAACCTCCCATCAACAGCAGCGGCACTGTGTAGAGCGGCGGCGTGGCTCTCGTCGTGCCCAAGCTAGCGTGGTCTCACTAGGCTATTGTGCCCATCGTGCTAGCAAGGCACGGCTAGACACCTTTACAGTGGCGGAGCCAGGAATTTGCAGCTAGGTATGCTAAATATATATAAAAAAAACAAAACACCCTTTCAACACTAATAATGGCTACGGAAAGAATTAGCACCACTTAAGAAGCTTGTAAACAACACGCTATTGTTCATGTTTTTTGTCTCCACAAGCTTAACTGAAAGCTCACATAGGTTCTTCAAATTTTTAAATCTTTCATCTCTACGCATATGAGAAATGTACACAGTAAGCTGCCATGGAAGTTTTGATAATTCACCACTTGTTAAATGCTTAGTATAAAACTTTTGTAGCAAGTGTAACAAATGCCTTGATCATAAGTAGCAGTTGCGACGATGATGTGCTGCTACCTGCTGGTTACCGTCCACCCGGCACCGCAGCAGAAGCAGATCGAGATGTGCCGCCGGCTGCCCACCCCCGCCGCCGGCAGCCGCAACAGCGATCAAGATGCGCCGCCGCCACCGCTTGGGAGTTGGACGGGAGTTCCGACTTCCTTTTTAGAAGAACGGGAGTCAAGACTTGTGAATGGGAGATGCCGACGGGAGCAATCTGGCCGCTTGGGCCTTGGCCAGGTTGCCCCGCTCGCTTCTACAAGTTCGTTTGTGGGCTTTTGGTCCAATTAGAAAATTGAATATACATGTATACTATATGTATTTATTTTTTGCACTCAAATCTTGGGTATTCCAAGGAATACCCAGGCATACCCCTGGCGCCGCCACTGCATCCTTAGTGTCGTGCCTTGGCCGAGGGAGCAGCACGGTACGGCTAGGCCATCGTATCTAATAGTGTCGTTTCATATGGCGTTACGATCGTGTCGTCCATTTAGCCATCTATGGTATCTGTTGTGCACATGACCTGAGGAGCATCTCATCTTCCTCCATCTGTAAACCAGTTGACAAATAGCCCGTGTCACCAATCTAACCACAGACCATCTATGTAGCACACCACAAAAAAACCGTAATACAAAAATATGAATTTTTTTAAGTTTTTCCAAAAAAACCTATATGGTGAAGCATCAATACTCAATAGTACAAAAACATTGGCATAGTAATTTATATACTTGTGTATCAACATGTTATATTAATAGAGTTAAAAAATTATTTAACAATGGAACACAATAGCTACATATCCTGAGAGTGTTCGGCTACCATTATAAACCGCCTTATAAGTCATGGTACAGTATTTTTCTCTCTCAACAAATCAGCCATACAAATCAGCACAGACAGCTTTACGAGCAGCCGAACAGAGCCCCTGTCTACGCCCCTACTGTTGTGGCCCTGCTTCAACGTCAATGCTCATGTGCGGCACGCTAAGGGTATGACTACAAAAACACTTGGATGAACCTTCACTAGTACTCCTGCAGTGGCTCCCTTTCCCCCTGCTTGCAGGTGAACAGGTACATTGGATGGTTGGGGGCTATGTTGACGCATTTGAAGTTGGAGCACAACTTATCACGAACGTCCCCCA